GACGGTCTTTAATAGTATCTCGTCGGTGGTAATATCCAGATATTTTTATATTTGGTGGTCGCGCGAAATTTTTGAAACGCGCGCATGCGCAGCCACTAGGCATCGCGCCGCAGTGCGACCTGGGGGTCAATCATGTATCTTTTCCCCTAGGGCGGAAACATGAAAAGTGAAAAGTTTCACGTGAACTCTATGATCATCTATGATTTCGGAGGATCATGTAACTTTCCCAACTGTGAAATGTGAAATTGTTCACGTGAACTTTTTAGCCAAAAGCCGTGGTGGCGGAAAGACGGAAATCTAGGGAATTGATAAATATACTTCGGAAGTAACATGTCTTATCCTCCGACAATTTATCTCAAGGCAGATGCTATAGTAATGCTTTAAAAACACAGATTCACTGTTAATGCAAAGAATTTGTGTGCTTAAAACAGTGAATTTATATTTTTAAAGCAGTGAATTTGTATTTATGAAGCAGAGAAATTGTTTTTAAAAGCAGTGAATTTGTGTAATTAAAGCAGAACGTATAATATATATAACGCTATATTGAGTCGGGATGATAGATATTTTAACCTTTAAAATCTAACCTTTGCCCATTCTTTACCAGATTTTTGAGGACCTTCGATAATTGTATTGATGCCTTGTGCAACTTCATCCCACAATTTAGACTAAAAATGTTTTATTTTGTCAAATAATTATTTTTTTCTTACCGATTACTATAATACATTATATAATAAAATACTTTAAATTTACCAATTTTAATCGACTCTCGTTTTTTCTGTCTATTCTACCCCTCACTAATTCGGGATTACGTTTTAAAAAATTTAACAACATTTCTTTTTGTTTCACAGTCACATTCATTATTTTTTTTTTCTGTTGTTATAGGTTATAAGTTATAAATGTTATAGGTTATAGATTATATGGATTGCTCAGTCCATGCAATATCGCATATGTAATCGCGAAACATGAAAAGTTTGACGTGAAATCTCGATGAGTGAAAAATGAAAAGTGAAACGTGAAAAATGAAATGTGAAAAGTTTCACGTGAAAATACATGATTGACCCCCTGGCTGGTGCGACCGGCGACGGCGACGATGCGTTCGTCACGTTCGTTTGGGTCGCGCGCGCATTCGCAGTTGCTTCGTGCTTTTCGCGTTTCGTTTATCAGAAGAGAGAGAGAGAGAGAGAGAACCATGAGTGTGGACACATTATTATAGATATAGCAATTGGACGTTTCGGATGATCATCGTAACACGCTAATCAACTAGCTACGGTGGTAATCAGTCATTATTTAACGATACCGAGGTCGAATACGGCGCCTAGAAGAGCGCATGCGCGTCCGCTATGTTTGAGCGCGTTTGAGTGGCGTTCCTTCGAAGTCGCAGTTCGGTCCGTTCGATCACTTTGTAACTTCCGTGTGTTTCGCATATTTTGAATGAATCGCGAATATGAACCATATGCTGCGTGGGTGACAATCGGAAGCAGTCGCTGTGATGTACTAGTTAACATGATGCGACCGTAAATCATGTTTCTATATAACGACATCGAAATTACACACGTATGAAATTACATATACAGATGGCGCTGCGTAGAGCGGAGCGCGCGCAGCAGCGTCCGCCATGTTGTTTCGCGCCGCGTTCGTTTGTGATTGTGACGGAATTACAATCCGTGTGTATTTCCCACGTTTCGCCCCCGTTAAAGCAAAATGCGTACGAAAATAAGTATTGTGAGCATCGGGCGACTATTGGAACGTACTAACGAGCGATCGTAATCAACCGGTTGTTATAATTGGATATCGGATTTATGTATCAACAAGTGAATTCCGAAGCGGTTAGAGCCAGTGCGTTTTCGACCCGAAGTTGGCGCGAAAGGAACGGCTGAAGTACATTTTGGTGAGTAAAATCAATACCTGTATTCTATGTCTGTGAAGCTGG